GCCACGCAGAGGGTGCGGGGGGCGCAATCTAATTTTTTTGTCATGGGGCCCAAGATTCCTGGCAGCTCCCTTGTCATACAACATTATTCTCATAATCTAACTTTATTCTTGTATTATAGCGACCTGATTCTCGTATTGACTTTCTGTCATCCAGCTTCATTCTTGTATAATTTTTACTTTATTCTGGTGATATTTTCGTATTATTGTAATATTATCTCTATTCTCAATTTTTTTTTCTTAGCCTGTCCCTAATTCTCTGTCATTAATAACTCTTTTGTTCATAGAACAAAGTCGATTTGACCTGGTTTTTGTCAAAATAGCTGAAATCTTGTAAAATATTTTATTGTTGCATAATTTATCTGCTGCTTTTTGTTGGCTTTCATTTGTTTTGTAAGTAAATAAATTTGGGGATGTGTGGGAGGGATTTTGTTGTTCCTGGATCTGTGTGTCTTGAATATTTCCTCTCTCTTTCAGTGCTCAGATCAGGAATGCCTGGGACAACAACAAATCCATGGCCAGGAACCTGCAGGAGATGGGTCTGTCGTTTGATCCCAACCGTACTTTGCCCATAAAGAAACAGACAGTAAGCAGAACAGCTGGGCTTAAATGAGACACAAAGGTTTTATTTTCAAGAGAGTAAACAAAAACTTGAGTGATTAAAAACTGAATACAATGTTATCTGGTTCCTAAGTGAAGAGCCCTCAGTAAATACTCCGTTATTCCACAACTGTGTGATGCTGCAGTTCAGATTTAGGCCATAAGAGGGAGGCAGAGTGTCAGTTATGGACCTCTGAGATCTTAAACTGCCCACATTTGATTTGCTTCCTAAAATTAATATTTTCAAGGTGAAATTTTTGAACTCTCTTTTTTTAACCCTTCTGAAGATAAGTTCAGACTTTTTAAAAATACTTTTTCATTCCTCAGAGTTCAAATAGATCAACAATTCTCTCTGCTGCTGCTTGGTAATCTGAGCTGCGGCTTGTTAGGGCAATTTTTTTATATAGATTTTTTGTTCTATTGACAGTTTTTATATTATTTTATGTTTATGTCTTTGTGGAGCACTTTATGATTTTAAAACCTGTGCTAGGTGCTTTACAAATATATTTTACTTACTTCCTGTGTTTGTGTTTGTTCCTGCAGCTCCTCGGAGGAAACACCGATGACAGAAGACCTGCCCACATCGTCACCAAACCTTACATCCTCACCAGTGAGTTTCTGAATCTTCATCATGGACTTTTCTAGGGCTCAAACAATTAAATATGATGAGTCAATTATTGAAATAATCGTCAGCTATTTCAGTAATTAATTGTTGACTGGAATATACAGACTTGTAAAAAAGCAGTTTGCTGAAAAAACATTCAGAGAAGTAATTAAGCCAAAACTTTACAAGATATATTTAATATAAAAACACCCTTGTCTGTACAATTGTTTTCCCCAGAACTCCTCAAGTGGCATTGTCTTAGCTTCACTGAGTTCAAATTCACTGCAAGAATACTATTTTGTTGCATCTTAGGCAGTAAAATGTTTATTTCCTTGTTTGAAGAAGGAACTTCATTGTTTATTTGCATCTTTTAATGTATTTAAAGGAAAAAAAATGCTGAATGTGCCTTTTTTTATCCAATTGTCAGAATAATCATTCAATAAAATAATCATTAGTCGCAGCCCTACTTTTGTGAATGGAAAATTACAATTAAATTTACCATAAAAGTTATTTTCTAAGCACTGGAAACTAGAAGTAGAAAGATAAAGCTGTGTGAGGTTTAAATAACTGTTATGAGGCTGTTTTACTTTAAATCTGACCATAAATTAATATTTCTGCTCTGAAGGCTCAAATGACTGAAATATTTATTCAGGCTTTAAAGATTGATGTTTGGTTCAGAGTTGCAGGAGGAGGCTAGCCTTCAGGAGAAGGACTCCAAGACGTTGTCATCCGACCTGATCGAGTACGCCCAGCACATGATCCGAGAACATAAGGACAACTACAAGGTAACGGTTCAAACAGAAACTGTGGCTGGAAATGATCAATTCAGCTTCTATTCTGAGCTTTTAAACTTTGGAACGCCTGAAAAATAAAGGAGTGTGACAGTATGTTTTACAACCAGGCTTTGTTGTAAAAAAAAAAAAAAGGAGTGGTGTCCAAGCTTTCTGCTACTTGGGCCAAAATGATCAAACTGAGAGAACCAGAGGGCCACAATTTGACTTCATAGTAAACCAAAAAAAAAAAGATTTCTTAAGACATTTGTTTGTATCTCCAGTAATATTGTAGATAGACAATATTTTAAAAAAGCAGTCTAATTTGTCTAGAAAATCACTCTGTAAGTCATTGTTGATTGTCTTGCATACTTACTGTATTGGAAGACTGTAAAAATCTCTTGCTATCTTTGTGTACTGAGGGGCCAAACAAAATCCGGCAGAGGGCCGAAAATGGCCCTGGGTCCACAATTTTGACATCCAGTATCCCAAAGGCTTGTCTTTACTCTATCCTTTTCTGTTCTTTTCCATAAATGTGACACATAAATCACATCCACAAACAGCAAAAGTCATATTTTGTCGTTTCATATTTTTGCAATTAAAAATTTTAATTGAGTCCAACTGCTTATCTATCTTTTATCTATTGTGTGAAGCCATTGCCGTGTGGGACCAAAGATGTTTCATAACTGACCGTCATGCAGCTTTCAAATGGATTCCCATCAGTGGTTCTGCGTCTGCCTTCACTGGAAGCATCAGCATTTCTTTGTATTGAAGTCTTTTCACAGAAAGACTTTTTATCCTTGACTCAGAACCCTGATGAGCTGTGGCTGATTGCGCCTTGCAACAAAAAGTGTCCCTGATCAAACAAGCTGAGAAACACACTTTTATATTTGAGGCTTTAAACGTTGCCACATCAAAGCAGAGTTTGTTTCTATGATGAGAACTGGAATAAGAGCTGAGTTTAAGAACGGCAGTCGGATTTATCTGACCTCCTTGGTTGTTTGATTGTCTTCAAAATGTGACTAAACCCCCTATGAAAGCTAAGCCCTGGCCCAGAAAAATGTGAAAAAATTCCACCAAACTGGGCGGAGCTAAGAGACACAGAGGGGCGTGGCCAAACAGTTGATGGCCACGCCATCAACTGTTGGCACTGTTGCCAACTTTTCCACTTGGTCATTTTATTTGACTTTTCAGACCCCTCTAGCAAGTTTTTATTAAAAAAAACCCAAAACAAAAAAACAAAACAATGACGACAACTAATTTTTTGTGTCAGGGCTCTGGAAAGGAACTGAACAAATTGACACAAAAATGTCGAAATTTGTACAGAAACATATAGAGCCCTACACAACCCAATGAGAGTTAATTGGTAAAAATCAGTTAATTTTGGGGGATTTATTTACACTTTAAAATCTGAACGTTATCACCTCTTAAAGTCCTTCAGGCTTTGTGGAAGGCAAACTGACTGTCGGACTCTAATCTGGGCAGAAATAAAATGGTTGTTTTTTTTTTCTCAGAGAAACAAACATTTTCCAGTTCAAAGACAAGAGATAATTCAGCTCTCAAAAATGAACAAAAAAAGAACAATCTTGTCTTAGTTTATTGATAATTTGTTGTATTTCAGAGTAAAATAAATCCTTCTCCAGACTTGTGTATGTGTGTGTGTGTTGGAGCTATATAGCCTACCTCATACCATGACAGACATTGATATGCATAACATGCCGGCTCAGATGTCGCCCGGCCAAACAAGGTCTGCGTCAGGTGCTGGGGAACCAGAGCACCTTGATGACAAATGGGCTACTGGAACAAAACGGAAATGGGCGAGGGGTGAAAACCTGGATCTGTTGGAATGCTACTACTCAAGTAACCCTAGTCAGAGGGGCTACATGCAAAGAATGAGGGAAAAATGGTTAGTTCGACATCCCCAGTCTACAATGACTGCTAAACAACTAGTAGCTCAGTGTTCCAACATCCGCAAACGGCAACTGCTATCACAACTTGAGATTGACGAGGTACAACACAAATGCTACGGCAAGGGGGAGGAGCCTGGATGTCAGTACAGGGGGGAGTTAACTACAACTACCCCAGAGACTGGGTATGCAGCCCCAGTAATGAACGAACCATCAAAGCTGAACGAGGCAGCTCTGAGAGAGAGAATCATGGCCCAAATGAACACCAGACAACCCCAATGCCAACTACAGCGGCTGAGTGAAGTACCATCAGAAAGTCTCATTGAAGATGTGAATGCAGCATTGAGAACGATCCCTAGAAGTGAGTGGGAAGTGAGCCAACTGTCAGAGCTATAGTATCTCTTTGGCCAGCCGCCTAAAGAGATACAGGAGGATTAACCGGCTCTTCTCCACCCAACCAGCTAAAGTGTACTCTCAATGGCAGGGTACTAACAACAGAGAAGACCCACCAAGGCTGGAGACTGAACAATACTGGAAAGGCATATGGGAAAGGGAGGTGTCCCACAACAGCAATGCACAGTGGCTAACCACCACAGCAACCTCCCTGAACAAGCCCCATTAACCATCACTGTGGCAGATGTCCAAGAAAGAGTATGAAAAACTGGACAGCACTACTGGCTGAAGAAACTCACTGCCCTCCATGAGCGACTGGCAGCTCAACTGAACCAGCTGCTACAAAATGGGACTCACCCT